TAGCTTGAGGCATCTCGTGCCCCCGCTGCTGCCAGCAACGACTGCAGAGAAGGTGGTGACCGAGTGCACCGACACCACTCCGCGGAACGAAACAAAGCGCGTGGCTGTGTATATTGAGATCAGGAGCTTCAAAAGCTGCAAACGAAACTGATGCTTGGGCGCCTCGGCCCACAGCAAGTACATCGTGACATGCTCAAACGCCTTCTGGAGGTCTAGGACCGCCGTGCCCGTCACCTCCCCAGGTTGGGCTCCTTCGTCGAACAACATCTGCTACCATATCGCTTCCTCTGATCCCCCGCCTGGCGCCGCGAAGTCGTAGTCCCGTCGAATCTCCCGCTCCCAGTCGTGGAGCTGGTGCGAGTGCGCGCGCTCCACCAGCCGCGCTGCAGTGGTGAGGAGGCCGATGGGCCTAGTCCCCCCACCCTGCTTGGCCAGTAGAAAATACATCACGTAGCGCAGCTGGGGGGGCCACCTGGCCGTGCGCGACGCGTAGGCGACGAAGGCGGCCAGGAACACGAGCCCTTCGTCCCCCAAGCTCGCAAACCACCTGGGGTGCCAGTTGTCCACTCCAACCCCCGTGTGCTCTGGGAAGGCCCTGCATATGGCCCTGATGTCGTCCGCTGTAGGCTCGACCATGCTATGCTCGAAAGTGGCCGCCTCCCAGGGCCGAGGGAGCTCGCCTCGGCTCTGGGCGCCGTGGGAGGTCCAGAGGTCGATCCACTTCAGCGCCTCCAGGTCCACCGCGGCCTGTGGGCAGGTCATGTCCAGATTGGTGTGCCCTCTGGCCCCGAGGGTGGGGTCGACCCCCTGGCGCCACTTCGACATGCGATGGACAAAACCTGCTCCTCCTTGTGAGCCGTCCTTGGGCCTCTGCCGCCACGCCTTTGCCCTCTGGTCTCGGAGGCCCTGCTCGATGACGTGGGCCTGCTGCGTGGCCCGACGCTGCAGCTCCATCGCCCTGGGGGCGTCCTCCCAGAGCGCGTCCCCGTCCCAGGTGAGGTCGCCCAGCGATAGGAGCTCGACGTGCACGGTCCTGGCGTCGTCGCCCAGCGCGCCGCACCAGCGGGCAGCACCATGGTGGAGGCGTCTGCGCAGGCGCCGCCACTGGTCGGTAAACGGTTGCCAGTCGCGCCGCTGGCGGGCCGCCTGCGCCAGCCAGACGATATCCCCGACTCGGCTGGCCACCCAGCGCCATGCCCTGGAGCGCGTGGTGCCCCTGGGCCTCGCATGCGCCTCTGGGCCTGCGATCGGGGCTCTGGCCCATCGAGGGTGGCCCCCCCTGCCAGTGTAGTCGGCCTCGCCAACGAGGTCGTGGATGCCCTGCAGGTCGCGCTCGGCCGCCGCCGAGAACTCCGCCCACAACTTCTCCAGCTCGGCGTCGCTGTAGCTTGCTCCGCTGTCGAGGATCGGCCAGGCTGGTGGCTCCCTACGACAGCCCACGGGGAGGCGAGTCGGGAAAGCACGAGGCTTGACCAGCCTCCAGCATAGCCGCTCCCGCAGTGGCCTCTCCGTCGCGATGGCGACGGGGCTGTGCGGGGCGGTGGGCGCGTCGAGCACCTCCGCTGCGCCGAAGGCTGACGCGATGCGCGTGTCCACCACAAAGTAGTCGATGACCCTCCCGCCTCCCTTGCCTTGGCAGGTGGGGGCGGCCGAGGAGAAGATGATGCCCCCGACGTCGTCCACCCAGCCCGTGGCCCTGAGCGTGTCGGGGGTGTTGTTGAAGTCCGCCTGGAGGACCCACGGTATGTCGTAGGCCCTCACTAATTCTCCTATGGCGTCCAAGATGGACAGGTTGCGAACTGCCCAGCCCTCTGAAACCCAGAAGTAGGCGCTGAGGACCATGAGGCCACCACGAAGAAACCCAGGGGTCCAGGCCGCCACCAGCCTTCCTGGCGATCCTGGCGGCGAGAAGTCGAAGGTGCCAACGCCCTCAAGGTAGGTGAGGCCCACGCAGCGTGGGGCGACGATCCCCACCCCTGCCACTCTGCCGCCACCTGGCCCCACTGCCGCGGGAGCAAGGGCGACGGTGAGGTGCCTCTGGAAACAGCTGGCGCTGATCTCGCCGACGTAGTCGCTGGTGAGGCGGTGCTCCTGGACCAGCATGATGGTGTTCCTGCCCAGCGGCATCTCATCCAGATGGTCGACGAGGGTGCCCCAGGCGCTGCAGTTGAGGCCTCTGAGCACCATGCCAGGCTTTGCGTGGCGCCCTTTGCCTCTGGTTCTGGGCCTCCAGTATCCCTCTCCCCAGCTGGGCTGCATCGGCCACCCCCCCGTCGGGGGAGCCGGGCTGGGGGCGCTCGTGCCGAGAGGCGTCGACCACCCGCACGTCTGCGGCTCTCGGTCCCACGAGCCCATCGCTGATGGCATCGACCACCCGCCTGTCGGCGGCACCAGCGAGAGGGGCGCATGGGGGGAGGCGTCGGCCACCCGCGCATCCGCGGCTCCCCACTCATGCGCCACTGGGGCCTCTTCCGAGGCGCTTGTGGCCGTGCTCAAGCCTGAGTTGACATCCATGTCGGGCTTGGCGTGGCGGCCCTTGCCTCGCGGTGGGGGGTTCCAGTATTCCTCTCCCCAGCTTGGCTGCGTCGGCCACCCCCCCGTCGGGGGAGCCAAGCTGGGTGCGCTCGTGTCGAGAGGCTTCGACCACCCGCACGTCTGCGGCTCTCCGTCCCACGAGCTCATCGCTGACGGCATCGACCACCCGCCTGTTGGCGGCATCAGCGAGAGGGACGCGTGGGGAGAGGCCACGGCCACCCGCGCATCCGCGGCTCTCCACTCATGCGTCACTGGGTCCTCCTCCGAGGCGTCCGTGGCCGTAGTCGAGGCTGAGCTGACCCCCATGCCAATCTTGACGCGTCGCCCTCTGCCCCTCGACCGAGGCCTCCAATAATCCTCTCCCCAGCTTGGCTGCATCGGCCACCCCCTCGTCAGGGGAGCCGAACTGGGGGCGCTCGTGTGGAGAGGCGTCGACCACCCGCACGTCTGCGGCTCTCCGCCCCGCGAGCACATCGCTGATGGCTTCGACCACCCGCCTGTCGGCGGCATCAGCGAGAGGGACGCACGGGGAGAGGCATCGGCCACCCGCGCATCCGCGGCTCTCCACGCATGCGTCTCTGGGGCCTCTTCCGTGGCGTCCGCGGCTGTGCTCGAGGCTGAGCTGCTGCTGTCCCGCCGTCGGAGCCACGGCGCGAGCAGCTGGCGGCGGAGCGTGTCCGCGCCCCTGAGCGCCCGCCGCGCCCAGGTGCTTGAGGAGGAGCTGTCGCCGTCCCCGCCCAGGATGTTGATGCCCTCTTCCATGGCTGGGACGTGGACGCTCGTCCCCACGATGAAGGCGACCCGCTTAGGCCCAGGCTGCCTCCGCCTGCTTGCCCATCGGGGCAGCTCCTCCGAGACGGGCGGAGGAGTCGCCCCCCATGTAGTGGTAGTGCTCGTAGATGTGGTGGGGGTCGCCACGACCCCGTCGATGTCAGGTGGTAAGGCTGGCGCACTTCGCCCCCGCGCGGCGGTCTTGCCTCGGCCACGGCGTGGGCGCTGACGCCACCTTCGCCCGCCTCGCGGGGCTGAGCCTTCAGGCTGCGCTGGGGTCTCCGTCGGCCGCTGGGGGGTTGGCTGCTGCCCGCTCCAGGATCCTGGCTCGGACGTCCTGTGCCAGCTCGCGCTTAGCCCTGCCTGCGGCCCCCGCAGGAGCTGTGGCGCCTGCAGCGCCGCCTCCGCTGGCTGCAGCAGCGTCGCGAGCACCGTCAACGCCAGCATGGGGAGGGGCTGATGGCCCCGCTGTGGGGGCCGCCTTGGCCGCGGCCGCCACTGGCTGCTTGCCGTCTGCGCCGCCTTTGCCTGCCGCCTTGCCTGGTGATCCCCCTGAGGCGGGGGCCGCAGCGGCCTCTGGTGGGGGAGGCTCCGACCTAGCCCTCTTGCTCTTGAGCCTGTCGCTGAAGGCCTTGAGGTCCGCCCGCATCGCGGCGAGCCCCTCCGCCGCTGGGCCGAAGTGCCTCTTGACCTCCGACTGGACCTGCTTGACGAACAGGCCCATCTGCTCCTCGAACTGGCGATGCTCTTCGGGCGGGATGTCGAGTCCCTCCAGGTCGAACGCCTTGCCTGGCCGCACGCTGAGGATGTCCAGGTCACCTTCGAGCAGCTGCGAGAGGTCCAGGGCTGGCGTGGGCTCCTCCACAGGCGCCGCGACCTTGGGCGCCGCTCGAGCGTAGGCCGCCTGGACCGCCGCCTCCGCGTCGGCGACCTCGATGACCCAGGTCTCCCGCTGCTCCTTCTGGTCCTGCAGCCACTGCTCCTCCTCGGCGAGGCTCTCGATGGTCTTCTTGAGCGCTGCTTCAGCCCTGCGGAGCCGCGCCTGGGCCTGGTTGAGGGCGACGTCTGGGTGCACCTCTGGTGGCTGCACACGGGCGAGCGCCTTGAGGTGCTGGGCGGCCTCTGCGTCGCCGTCTGGGAGGGTGGCCCGCAGCTGCTTGAGAAGCTCCTCACGGCTCGGCCTGACTGACGGCCGACTGCGGCGCCGCGAAGAGGCGCCGTTGGGGCCCCAGGCGCCCTGCGGGGCTCGCTCTTGAGAGGTGGCTGGCTGCAGACCTCTCTTGCACTTGTAGCACTCCGACCTGTTTGTCCAGTTCCACTTATACCCACATCCCCTGCACTTCGCATACTTGCCTCCAGTTTGCTGATCATCCTTCTCCCTGCGCCCCATGCGCGACCTTGAAGAATAGATCTCCTGCCCGACCAGTACAGTACGGGGGCTCCTCGGAGCGTGGCAGAATTGTGTGGGCGCCCGCCTTGCCCAGCAGGCCCCTGATGCGCGGGCCGAGCCTGCTGGACAGGCTCCTGGTCTCTGCAAACCACCCCGAGAAATTGTTTACTTGAGCCAAAATGGCTTGAGCCAAAATGGCTTGAGCCAAAATGGCGACGGTGCTGGTGATGGTGAGGGGGACGAGGAGGAGGAGGAGGAGGAGGAGGAACAGAAGGAGGACGGGGACATTTTGGGGTGGCGCCAGGGCGCCATGACCGATAGAACGGACGAGAAGGTGCGGTTCGGCTTCCTGGCGCTGTTCGAGAAACAGGAGACTGGGCTCCCCCCAATGAGCGACGTTGCACCACCCATCTCTGAAATTTGCTGTGATGGATGCGCGGCTTTCCTCCAACTCCTGCTTCTGCTGCACCTCCTCTTGCCAGCGTGAGCGCGTGAGTATCCGAGGAACATGTGGGTTAGGAGACGGTGAAGGAGGCGGAGGAAGAGGGGGGGAGGAGGAGGAGGAGGAGGAGGCGGAGGCGGAGGAGGATGAGAAGGAGGAGGAGGAGGAAGAGGAGGAGGAAGAGAGGAAGATGAGGATGAGGATGAGGATGAGGATGGGGATGATGAGATGAGATGATGGCGATGCTGCT